CAGAAAAATATAGTTAGTCTCACGAACTAGGACTTTCCGCATAGCGCCTATGTACCAACTAGGACTTAGGAGCTCTCCGGACAGAATTTAAAATACTGATGAGTAGTAGTGAGGATTTTGATCTTTTCAATCCCGAATCTGCGCTTCCTCCTCAGAAATCGGTTGCGGAAGACGACAGTTGTCCAACGCAATGATGAGGTAGACTGAAAACCCAAGGAAAAGAAGCAGGCAAAGTTCTCATTGAAATGGTGTTTTCCGCGTCATTCGCCTCCGGCTAGCAGCTTAGAAACCTACTCAACGAAGCGTGTGGCTTCAAAATCAACTGCCGATGCAAGTCGCAATGTAACATGCCGATGATTCTGACAGTGCAGACATTTTGATTCCTTTCCGTTATAAAGGGCTCTTTTTAGTGCTCATTGCTTTAAATACGCATAGTGAGGTAAGTTGAAAAGGAGTGCGGTTACACCGCCAGATTGCGATCATGTGCGCTTGACGGCGGTACCTTAACTTACGCCACTTGTTTGAGGAGAACTACGTGACACAGTGGTTTTTACATGCATCTACAATGCTCTGTGCATTGCATTAAAAGTAGGAAGATATGGGTACGCGTAAACGGCGACGCACTACATAATATTAGCGGATTGCAGGCACCTAAGCATTATGTAAATGATACCTCTGCTTCAGACCAAACGTATGTGGTTCATGTACGCGAGCCCACGACACACCATAAACCTGAGGTTATTTACGCTTCACGCATCCGTCGCTATCCATGCTGAAGGCTACAAGCGTCAACAAACCCGTTGTTGCTTGTCCGTGAAATTGAGTACTAGAGGAACAATTACAATGCATTCGAGAGTAGTATATATTACGGGGTTCATGAGATATCGGCTATGGAACAGGTGAGCAACTGGGTGCACAATCTGTCGGCACGGAACATACGTAAGCCATTGGAACGAAACTCATGCACGTAAACTTTGGTGCGTCCTGAAAATGACTGACACTGAATGAATCCTGTGTTCATAACGCCTTTTCGCATGTTGCACATGCAGAATTGCTTGCCAGTAACGTTCGCCACGTTATCCGGAGGCTTTGTTATATAATACACTCCATTAACGAAGTTGGCTTCTGACAAACACAAAACGTAATCCATCTGCACCTGTGGCTGTTACGGGTTATAAAATAAGTTTTCTGCTTGCCATAGAGCATTGCTTCAACTGTGCAACCATATTGACGGCGCTGCGCAACATATTGATTTACAACCTAATATGTGACCCAAAGGAAAAACCGGAATTATGGTACAACGGACTTGCGCCAAATGTGTCAGTGTTATTTCATGGTCCCAAACAACAAATAGTGACCGCTGACAAAAGTCTGTAACACTTTGGCCGCGAACTCACCGTGCAGCACGGCTGCGGGTAACAAAAACAATTAAATGTTCGTACGTAGACTAAAAAAGCAGCAGCACCTTCTGCAGGACTGCTGGCCCAGAATACAACAAGAAATGCCTGAATTCTTTGACTTTCAAGCAACGAAACCAGTGAACGTCCCCACAAGGACGGGTGAAGTCATGTGTCCGAAGGCGCTTAAATGGCCTACATTACTTCATCTATTTTTCCGAGTTTTCTTTGAATGAAGCGGTACTGCTACTTTGCAGTGGATGACATCCACAATGACTTCATCCTACGTATTACGATGAGGCATAACGAGGGGACAGGATTACTAGAAAAAGCCTCGGCCATATCATTAGGTGTGCACTCGATAGGTATGACTTCGCTGTCGGGAGGCCCACCTGAACGTTTCGTCCGCACCCGGCCGACAACCAGTCCGTGGCAGTATATCACGACGGCTTACATACACAGCATGTTGAAAACCCTCGTCACAACTGCATAACCTGCGTGCCATTTACTGCTCTTAATGTACCCATGTGCTGGTGCGCCACATATTACAGTGGATACGCATGCCTACTTTAAGTATGCATTGCGTTGAACTACTGCCACTGTCTCACGCAAAGCAGTCAGCTCCTTTATTAATGGAGCCAGAAAGTCACACCAATCTGGTGTTCCACGACCAAGGTATAACCCTGCAGTAAGGGGAAATGAAATGAAGTTAAATAATTATACCAGTAGGCCAAATGCGCAGTCTAGAAGGACTGACATTAGAAAGCCGTCTATATGTAGTTGGCTTTGCAACCGCGGGAGCGTAAACTTTTCGTACTGACTCTCTGTCATCAAAGTAGGGGTTCACTGAGGGAGCCGACCGTCCAAACATCCAACCTAGTGCTTTCCACTTTCCTTTGAGTCATCATCAGGGTTCAATCTCTTGGGAAATTCGATGTATAATAGCCGTAAGAAGGAGCGGAAATGCTTGACAGCTGACAGCAATATACGGAAAGTTACAATCAACCTGCGCAGGTAATTGCGCGATGTTTCGCCCTTCCTTTCGGAAGTCGTGGGGGCTAGCAACTGGTCTCGATGAAAATGTATATCGAGCGCTGTGGGAACTATGCGGATGTAATAATTCATGTCGCACTCTAACTTGCTGCAACCATAATGCCGCATGGGTTCACATAGGCTTTTACAGTTCTCTGCTGCACACCTGCAGCAAGCTGCATAAAATGGCCTAATAATTTCTTTCTAAATCTCGTATAGTGCACCTGCTTCCATTGGCTGAATAACTTAATGATAAATTTAAGATTTCACTCTCAACTTGCGGGGCACGCCACAAAGATAGTTAGGATATGGCATCAATGAACTGCACACTGCACGTCATTGTTGTATGCACAGGCTAAAGCGCATTCTACTTACACTGTTTTTGTAACCTTACACAGCTAGACACATCGTATGAGCCACGGCTGTTATTTCTCCACCTAGGAAGTTTCCAGTATGCTTAACTTTACGCACTTCATTAAAGGATACTTACTTTTGTAAAACACAAAATAAACGCGAGTATTGAAATAACCGGGCAGCAGCGATGCAGTCTGTCGAGTATCAAGGAGGCAACCAAAACGTAACTACAGACCAATGTGCATTGAAACAAATGGCTGTAGGTCCTCCACTTACGATTGTTACGCTTGCTAATCAGTTGCGCATTTTGCTTCAAGCCGTACAAAAGCACTGTAGTTGTTTACTAATAAATGCATCCAGCTGCTATTTTTATACGGAAACAAACTATCGTGCGCAATGCACCATGTCGCGAGGAATGAACACGCTTTTTCGTGGCTGTGTGCCTGGCGAGTAGCGTGTTGTGATGTAGCTTCAAGCCCTAGGAGGTATATCTTGGTCTATCAGCGCCCCTGTCTATTACCATCTACCTACGTCTTGTACACAAAATTCCGCGCGACTCGCGACCGGACGCATAATACACTTTCCAACCACACAACCCAACTTGAACCCTTTGAGCTTGCTTGAGCTGCCGACCGTCTCACAATATTACAAACAAAGGAATATAATTTAGGGTGCTGGAGTGACCTGTAACTAACACGCCGTTAAAATACACGAACATCCAAAGAGATTGCGTGTAGGTCAGCGTTAGTATTCTGGGACCTGCATAAGCAAAAAGGGTATAATGGTTAGATTTCGGACAAATTTGACCATATTATTGATTTACATGAAGCGTGGGCCAGTGTAGTGGACGAGAGGAGACACAAGTGCTTTCAACATCGACTTCAACAAAGCATTGATTAAAGTTCCACACAAATGACTGACGCTTTAACTGTAGGGGATGGGCATCAGTGGAAATGTCTTATCTAGGATAGAATGCTTTCTCTTCGCTCGCACCAGGCTCTTCTTCTTTGACTACGCCTAATGGCGTGCCCCAATGCCCCGTCATCTAGCATGAAGTTTTCTAGCTCTACTTCAACGACCTCCCTGTGACACTCAAAGCAGGTTACCCGATCTATTCAGATGACTTCAAACGGCTGTCAGAAACCTCTTGCGTTGATGACGCCGAAAGGCTGCAACCATCATTTGACCCGCTGCATGATTGGTCCGTCAAATGAGACCCCTGTTAACCGTGATAAATTTGCCGTTCTCCACATTGGGGAATTTGTTCCTCTCGGTGTATGGCACTTCAGGGCTATCTTCTACAGACGGTAACCCACGAGAAGAATCTTGGAGTTATTGTTGCACATGACCTCAGCAACTCAACGGACACAGTACAATAGGTCGCGAATGCTAACTGGATGCTTGGCACCCTGCGAAAATCGTACGCTGAAATTTTGCCGATGATCCTTAAAACCTTTTTATTTCTCATGTTCGTTTAATCCTGGAGCATGTTCTGCTAGTTATCTACCCCCTATCGAAACATGGATGTGTCTTGTTAGGAAACGTTAAGAGTCTTGGCTCGAAATCTGTCTCGTAGCATCAGGACCCCAGCTGCACTATTCGAATTCAGAAGCTTGGCTTGTTCCCCTGGAGTATCGGCGCTGTCGTGGGGATCTCATTTACACCAGACGGATTCTAATGGTAGAACTTGAGACGGACCTACAAAGACAGTCGATTTAAACAGGATACCTCTACTGGGGGTCATCCAAGGAAGCTTTACATCCCATCTGAGATTGCCCTGCCTATCCGGGTGGTAAAATATTGGGAGAGGTTTCCAAAGAACTCAGCTCGGAGAACGAATCAAAATATTAAAGTACGTAGTTGTTGCATAGACCGAGGAACGATTTAAGCGTCTGATGGCTTGCCACCTGCTGAATGCCGCAGTTTCCTGTTGCTCCAGTTGCAAAGGCGACGATCTCCAGCAGCGCCGACTCGCATGCACAAGCATTAAATAATGATATGAAAATAACGGAGCAGACAACTTTCTCTCCTTCGGCTCTCTACCCACCAAGGAAGCAATGTATTACATGATCATTAATGCATATTTTTCCATACCCGTCGTTTGGTAACTTAACGGTTCTTATTTGCGTATTTTGGGTACACTTTGCAGGATATTTATTTATAGCCGGTTTTTTGTTGCACCATATTTTGGATGTACGGTAGAGCATTATTTGAAATTCCAGTTCTTGCGTTTCGTGAGGCGGTCGGTGCCGTCTCGTGGGGTGGACACTCCCGTGTGGTTCATTTCCTGTCTTTTCCTTGTGGTCCGTCAGCGATTAAGCGCTGACTAATTTGACTTGTAGCTTAGATAACCAGCATCTGCATGTGATGAATCGCTTGTTATGCATTACGCGAGGTTAACGTATGGTTCCTACCACAGTGCTTTGTTGTCATCGTGTTGGAGGATATAACGAACTTGCCCTTTTCCGCCAGCTGACGTGACATGCACTGGTGACTCGGTTATGTTCAGCAGGACTAAAGGAAGCGCGTTATGGAAACCTAAGAAGGTGCATTCTCTTGGATATCTGAAGTAAGAATTGAATTTATCGATGCCTTTTCCCCCATTATAAACCTTTTTCGACAGAATTGCCACATCCCCTCACGTCTAAAACCACACTTCCTTGATTCACCTGATTTGCATGTACGTTTTGCTGTCTCTCTGAGCTTTTCCCCTCTCGAACTATTAGTTTATAACGCGGCAGTCCGTTTAACCTTATACGCTTGTAAAACCTGGCCCATTAGGTTGACAGATATAAAGATGTTTGTGGTGGAAAGGCCAAACTAAAAGGGCTCAAATACATAAAAGAATGCTTTACCTGAGCTTCAGCAAAGCACGATCCTCGTTAGTCCATCAGTTAGTCGCACAATCCTGTCGGAAGACGAAACTTAATCGGCACAATAATTCGACGCGGTAGATCTGATGGTGGATGAACGAGGCAAACGGACCAACGGTCAATAGGATAACACGCGAAGCCGAGACCAGAAAGCGAATCGAAACCCTAAAAAGTGTTTTATCGGTTGTTGGTCAGTTAAAACAAAACTGTACAATAAATAATGGAAATGAGAATAGGAAGGTACAGTTGTGAAGAGAGCAGTTTGCAATGGCTACAGAACTTCCTACTTGAACGTGCGTCGCTGATGAATGCTCGATACTTTTGTCATTTATCGTAGTCTGGAAGGGAGAACCGTTCGTCCAAAGCGTGTTCGGTGGTGCGAGTTCGAGTTTGTGTCATGAGATGCTTGGGGTGCAGGAGAGGGAACATTGGTACTTTTGGTAGTGGTTGCGCCTCGATGTAAGCCGGCTTCAAACAGCCAATACTCACAGTATCCTCATAACCATTTCTATCCAGCACGAAGTACTTCTTCCGGGAAACAATTTTAAAGGACCCTCGTAACGCGGTGTCAGGTTTACGGACAGAATCGACACGCATGAGAACGAAGGGCAAGTGCGCAAATCCGAGTGTAACTGTTGACTCCGAGGGCTGCTTCGAGGTGGCGTTGGACGAATTGACCTGAAATGTTGCCTTAGGCGTGTGACGTACGAAGTCGGAACAACTTTTCCAGTAACCCTTGAGTCTCACCATTTCTCCAGGAAGTGAGAGTAGTGCCAAAGACCAACTCAGCGGGACAACAGCCAATGTCTTCTTTGATGATGTTACGAATACCAAGCAAGATAATCGGTAGACGTTCAGACCATTGTGAGTTCTACTGTGATGCAGTAATTGCAACTTTAAGTTGTCGATGGAAACGATGCCATTAGCAGATGGATGATAAACGGTTGTCCGTAGGCGGGAACAACTGAGCAAGCGGTTCTAGTCACGAAACAAGGCCGAATTGAATTGGGGCCCTCTATCGTTAGTACTAGTGGCTGGCATGCCAAAGACGGAAATCCAATTTTTAATGAGTATTCGCGCCAGTTTCTGTAGAAGCATCACATAAAGGCACAGCAAGTGGCAAACGCGTTTAACCATAAACACATGTCAACAAGTCGACAAAACCGTTGAATGAAGACAAGCGTTCAACGCTATCAAGATGGCCATGCTTCGAACGGGCGTCAGGAAGAGCAAACGTGCGTGGGACGGTAGGTCTTGTTGGTTTAGCAAGTGCTACAGTGTTTGTCCCACTGCTGGATCTCGGAGCGATGTGCCAAATGAAGCGATTATTAGTTAGCTTGGCGGTATATGGGACGCTCGGGCGTAAGATTCCATGCAGGTGGTCAAAGACGATTCGGCCGTATTGCTGAGGGACAAAGGACGGGGCTTGCCGGTAGAAATATCACAGTAACTTTTGGAATCTGAGTTAAGGATTGGCAACTGGGATATTTTAATCGATGGATTTGATCTCAGCTGCGCAAATTCAGGATCTTCCTGATGAGCTGCAATGTCTTCTAAGTTGATCGTCTGTCGTGAAACAGTGGACATGTACGCGACGTGGCATCGGCGACAACTATATTGACAACATCAACATCATCATCATCATCAACAGCAGTACATCAGCCATTTGAACTGATGCTTCGCTGCCATACAACCATAAGGACCTATGAAGTTAAGAATAAGAGAGAGAGAAGGGGGACTTACCTGAAAACCTTAATGCCCTAAGCAAACATTCAGGGTCAAGGCGCCTACACCTTGTGTAGACAACATACCGTCACAAACCGCTGGCTATCGTGCAAAGATAAGGCGGTATCGGCGAGACAGCTTCCTTGCGGCTTTCACTGCCACGCGTCATAATCAGCCATTACCCCGCAGATAACTCAGCACCAAACACACTTTAAACAGACAATCCGATTAGGAGACGACAGAAGACGCGCCACTGGCGTCGGTTGCGAGGCATGTCCTGCAAAGTCTCGAGCCAACACAAGGTGAGTCACGTGGACTCCAACCCGGAAGGCGAGACGGACCAACGGCACCCAGTTTGGTCGTCAGTGACTTCATTTCCCGCTGCCAAGTCAACTTCTGTCCACCTCGAGCCTTGCGCCATCCTACACCTGGTAGACTGAACAAGGCCCTCCTAGGTAAGCGGTGACCAGGCATGCGTAGCACGTGTCCGAGCCAACGCAACTTATTCAGTGTTATCTGTTGTTCTAGGGAGCTAGCATGATTATCACCACCTAGTACTCGCCTACGCACATCATCGTTGCGGACACGCTGGTGCCATCCGACTCCAGCAATGCTTCGCAAACAACGATGATCAAAGACTTGAAGGCGCCTCAGATCTTCAGACCGAAGGGGCCAAGTCTCACTACCATACAGCAGAACGGTCCTCATTGTGGCCTTGTATACACGGCCTTTCAGACGGAGGGAAACTCCCTTCTGTCGCCAAAGATGCCGAAGGTTCAAGAAGGCAGCTCTGGCCTTTGCAATGCGTGAGCTCACGTCAGTTTCTATGCGCCCATCATTGCTGATGCAGCTGCCAAGATTAGTGAATTGATCAACTACCTCGAGTTCCTCGTTAGCAAGCGTCAAGGGGTCATCAAGTGGCTGGTGGTCCTGCAGCAACACTTTGCACTTTGAAGGTGCGAAGTGCATACCAAATAATGGGACCACTCTGGATAGGCTATTCAGGGTTGATTGTGCCGCCTCAACATTGTCGAAAAGCAAGACGATATCGTCCGCATAATCTAGATCAACTAACCTTTCACCAGGCAGCACATCAACACCTACATCGTGATATTCCGCAAGGGAACACTCCATGATAGAATCCACGACGAAATTGAACAGAAATGGGGAAATCGGACAACCCTGACGAACGCCACTTGTAGTCGAAAAGCTATTCGATAAGACACCATAGACCCTGACGCGGCCTGTAGTGTTCGAGTGTAGAGCACGAAGGATGTTCACGTATTTCGTGGGAACATATTTTCGCGCAAGTATTTCGAACAGAATCGATCGATCGACTGAATCGAACGCACTCTTGTAATCGAGGAACACAGCTATTGTCGGTCTGCGGTATGCGTGGCGCTGCTCTAGCACCTGCCGCAAACTGAATATATGGTCTATACAGCCACGTCCTGGGCGAAAACCGGCCTGCTCTTCCCTAATCCGAGATTCCCGTTCTGCAGTGAGGCGACGAACGATAATCGAGGCCAGTAATTTTGTCACAACTGGCGTTAGGCTAATACCCCTGTGGTTCGCACAGTCTGTGCGACTGCCCTTTTTGTATATTGCCACTATAATCGATTCGCTCCAATTAGCCGGCACACTCTCCGTTCCAGATACATTCGAATAGGGAGGTCACCGCCCTGCAGAGGACCTCACCTCTATCCTTAAATAGTGCAGGTGGGAGAGAATCCGGGCCAGCGGCACGAAAACGATTGAGGGCTGTGATCGCGTTTCGGAACTCGGCCTCCGACGGAGGCTCTAAACTAATCGTCCATGGCACGTCCTGCATCATCTGAGTAAGAAGAGGTCCGGGAGCAGGGGGCCAGCTGAACTGATCTTCAAAGTGCTCAGCCCAACGAGCCATACGGCGCTCCTTATTGTGTATCAGCGCACCCGCGCTGTCTCTGATTGTCTCACTGACGCCTGGTTTTCTGAGACCAGTGGTGCGGATTAGCTGGAAGAGCTTGCGGTAATTGCCTACTGCTCCTGCCTCCTCCATTTCTTGAGCCCGACTGGTCCACCAGGCTTCCTTGTCAGCACGTAGGCTCCGCTTTAGTTCACGCCTAATAGCCCGTCTGGTCACATTGTGTTCAGAACCAGCCGGGAGGTGTCTTCTAGATTCCAACTGGTTCACGGACCTCTCGGATATCCAGTGACTGGTGCGGTGACGACTGATAGTGCCACAAACAAATGCTCCTGCGTCGTGCATAGCGGCCGAGATCCTATTCCATTGAACTTCAGTGTCATTAGGACAAGACAGCGAGAGTTCGCTATGCAGTGCTTCTTGATAGGCTTGCCTGACCGAGGGCTGGGACAGTTTCTCCGTTGCCAATCGGGGGAGACGCTTTGTGCGCCTTCCGGTAAAGTTCATGGAGAAACGACAGCGCACCAAGGCATGATCAGAGTCGACGCAGGTACTCCAGTACGAGCGGCAATCCAGAATGGAACCGCGCCACCTGTAACTTATGGCTATGTGGTCAATTTGAGTCCATCGCTGGCCAGCTACAGGTGGACGCCAAGTGGCACTTCGGCGCCCACTGTGTCTAAAAGCAGTGTTAGTAGGAAACAACTGGTGCTCTGCACACAGTTGCAGCAGACGCTCACCGCTGTCAGTCCGTTCGGAGTTAAGTCCATACTTACCACCCAGCTGAGCTTCTGAAGAGCTCAGACGCCCTACTTGTGCGTTCTTATCCCCTGCAAGTACTATAATATCTGAACTAGTAGCACTGCGTAGTAGGGCGTTCAGTTCGTGGTAGAAAGTGTCCTTGACTGCATTAGAACTGCAGTCAGTGGGATCGTTAACGGAAATCACAAAGAAACAGCGTTTTGTTTTACTTCGCGAATTCACCTTAGCTGATGTCGTCAGACGGGCTGCACATAAACGGCTGTTCACCGGAATCCCATCAACCAACGATGGCTCAGCCTTGGA